AGCGTGTGTTCACAACCGCCCTAGCTGGTCCCTGGATAGAGGAGTTATGGAGCCCTGAGCAGCCAGTGGTGATGGTAGACGTTGGTGGTTGCCGACAGTCTGGGAAGGAAGGGTTTGATGATAAGGAAGAAGGCAGAGTTTATAGCAGGACGGAGGCTCAAGTACGTCGCAAGTTGCGTCTTGCATCGATTTTAGAGTAGCAATCTTCGAATCATAATAATATGGTTGAAGTCCAGAAAAGTCTGCACAGAATCAACTGTATGTATCGGTGAAAATTCTGGGGAAATTTTGGAAAATTATCATTGTTGATTCCTGTATACTTCTATCCTGATTCGTGTGTAAACTTTTTTCAATTGCTGGGGAGTTCCCTGAGCTCATCATATCATAACAACTCTATGTGAGGTCATATTAATAACAGCTATAATTACCATTAGATTATTCGAAAAAGCAAAACCATGAAATTTTATAAAGATAGAATAGCAAACATATATTCTTCTAACACTGTGTGTTTGTGAATGATCAGGTTATCAAGTCGCTTATTACAACGGTGCCATGCCATAGTCTGGCGAACGAGGATGTTGTGGTTTTGTCACCTTATGTGAAGCAAGTGAAGCTCATACAGGGACTGTTGACGGCCGGGGAGAGATCGGGTGAGTGTTGTTGCTAGTAGAGCTTACTGTTGCATTCAACGACTAGAATAGGGAAAGGTTAACCATTTCCCATCCATTATGTTGTTACCATAATACGCATCTGTAACCCTCAAATAAGTGGTGGCATTTACATCACCAGCGAATCTCACACCAGGCAAAATCAAAACTGATGACGGGTCGTCCCCCCTACCCCCGTTCTAATGTTGGATCAGAGCATAAAGTCTCATAGTATCCTTGTATCGAACTAACATTGAGAAGGGGGAGAGAAGGGCAGCTACGAACAGTAGTGAGTCAGCAAAGTAATGTCTGCCAACCACACTACTTTCTGCGTTTCACTGACGTTTCTGGGAGAGTGGTTGAAAGACATACATATAGGCATTTTCTTATACAGTGGAGTCCACAAAAATCGAATGATATAGGTCTGGAAGCGTTAGAAATTTGGACATTTTTCATAGACGCTACCCGTGAGATTGTACATAGAGATCATTTGATAGCAATATATTAGCTATGCGACGAGGCTATGTAGCTATTACTAATGATTGTGTATTGGGAAATTGCAATGCAGCCATACTTTCCTACTCGCATAGTGTAGGATAGGATAGATAGTAAAATGTTGCTATGTACAGATGAGTTGATAGCAATACATTAGCTATAAGATAAGACTATGTAGCTATTACTAATGATTGTGCATTGGGAAATTGCAATACAGCCACATTGTTATACTCAACGACTAGAGTAGGATGGAATAGATAAGAAAATGTTGCTACCTACAGATCATTTGAGAGCAATACGTTATCTATGTAGTTGTTACTAATAATTGTGTATCGGGACAGTGCAAGGGTCTATCATTTTGAGGAAGAATTTACGTCTATACGGATTAGTCGGTGCAAGCATCAACTGTAAATCCAAAACTTGCAACTCGAAGTGCGCAAGCTTCCGAGTAATCGAATGAGTAAAACAACATAACGAGTAGTGGTATTTCACGTTGAATCAGAATGTTTCCTCAACTTGGGTTTTTTCCTGACCTGTCCATAGGTATTGAAGTCATGACGGTTGATCGTTCCCAAGGCCGAGACTGGAAGGTTGTTGTTCTGTCATTGGTACGCTCAAGAAGCCTCGATGATGATAATCGAGGCGCTGATGCCTCGACTGACGTCCTTGGTGAGTACCAGGGTGAAGTTGCTCGAGTATGTTACTACTTTCAAACTACTGTGAACTACATTGAATAGCTCCCGAGTGAATACTGTATTTTGCACAGTGCGAGGCAAACAGTTATGCATATCTCGAGTTTCGAGATGGCCCTCTTTAATTTGAGAGTAATACGAGTATAGACTATGGAACGCTCTGTAGAATTCTCGAAAAGTGAAGGTTTTGAAGATATCACGTGTCACCGTTCGTGTCACCACTACTGAATTTTCAATCAGGTCTACTGGACGATTGGCGTCGTCTTAATGTGGCCAT